CCACCTGAATTTCTCGGAATCTAAGCCAGATAGAGAAAAATGGTCCAGACAAAAGTAGAAGGGGACAGAGGGGGTCACCTAATGGTACCAAGGATCTTGACCTTGATAAACATATCATTTTAAACGTAAAATTTCCCTCTTTTCAAATCCGGGGTCAAAAATAGGTGTTCCTATTTAAAAAAATCACTTTGACCTTGAAATAACCTTGAAAATCGAGTTCAAGGTCAAGGTCCTTGGTACCATTAGGTGACCCCCTCTGTCCGCTTCTACTTTTGTCTGGATCATTTTTCTCTATCTGGCTAAGATTCCGAGAAATTCAGGTGGGGAGATTAAAATGGCCCACCGTGTATATCAGTGAAGCTCATTTAATTTGTGATTAGAAAATACTAATTAATTTTACGAAAAAATTATATAGATACCCTTACAGAAATCCAATTGGCTACTTTTAATATTTAAAATTATTTAGTTTGAATATTAAAAGTATAGAACAAGTGTTTTTTAATACTCAAACTAAGTAATTAATTACTATTTTTCAATATTAAATTTCTGTAAAGATAACTTGCATAAAAAAAATAAATACTAAGTTTATTTTAAGAATAATAATTTAATAAAGTAATCAAATTTTTAAATGTAATATAAAGAATATAATTGAGTGAGTTCAATAGACTCACCGTCAGCTACGGGGGGTTAATTAACATAGAGTTCTTTAATCTTTATGCATTTACATATTTATCTACTGGCTTGTCTATTAAATATTCCTCTCGAGAGGAGTTAATGAATCAGATCGTAAAACATTAGTTTGAAACTATGGCCTTGAAAACGCAGAATGATTGCCCTTGCTGTAGTCTTCGTTATTTTTATCTACGTCGATCACGAGGAAAACGTTATTACTTGAAACGATTAAAATGCAAATTGATGACGTATGTGTCTGTAGCACCATCGCGAAAACGAAACCGGTCCGTGGCAGTTCTCGTGTCAACATGGACCCAGCGAGTGCTATGCGAATAAGATCCATGCGTGTGGGATTCACGCCATACAGTACTCCGAGCCAGCCAAGGACCACCAACTATTGACGATTAATCTGATCAGTTGTTCAATGTTTATGGGAGCAATCTCGCCGACTGGTTATCCAGAGGTAGCTTTACCTCCGTATAAATTTCCTGGCTACGATTAGCCGATACGGCCGCTGGATAATTGCCCTTGGCGAACATGCCTTTATTGAATGCAACGAGTAATTAATTTTCCAACGACTTGCATGACACATACGAGAATGTAAGGCCGTAATACGCAAGGAAAGTAAGTCTTCTTCTATATATAATTGGCCCGGGCCCTCGCCAACGAGGTGAGCTTGGCCAGTCTTGTCAAAATAATAATGTGATGCAAAGCACAGTTAAAGCCGGAAACGCTTTTCAAAAAATTAATGAGATAATGCAACACCCGAAGCAAGCCAGACTGGGCCAGACGCGCGTCCGTCCCGCTCGAGCGGTCTTGCTAGAAGCTGCAAGCAGTAAGTGAATTGGCCAATCACAGTAGAGTCCGTAAGGCCAGTAGCGAATCCAATGTTAGGCGTCGTCTACAATGGACAGTAGCAGTAGTGGATTAAAAAGTAGACGTAGAAATCGACCAATGATAGTTAATTATCCTTCTTACATTCGACTATTTCTACGCCTATTCTTTAATCCACTACTGCTACTGCCCATTGTAGACAACGCATAAAGGTGCTGTTCCATGACAGTCGGATTGCGGAAAACGGAATCTCGGAAAGGTACTAGACCGCAAAATACTAGACTAGAATCAGAAGACACGGCAGTGTCTTGGCAAGTTAGCACGCGCAGTGATATACGCGTTGTGTTCGTTATAGTTCGTTACGGTTAAAAATTAATAATTGTTAATAAAATAATTATTAATAAATAATTTTTCGATAAATATTGATTAATATATAAGTATTTATTGTTTCCATTATATATATGATTATTGTTGGAGATATACAAAATTGCGTGCTTGTCTGCTTGTCGGTCCGAAATTTTCGTGACTCGGTTTCCCATGAACCAATTTTTCCGGAATTGTGAAAAATCGGAAAATTTATTTTAAATATTTTATGAAAAAAAGATAATTATGATATAGTAGAAGAATCTGTAAGAAAATAAAATTCCGATGTACTTTTTATAGTAACAGAAGATAATGAATAAAATTTTTTAATTAAAAGTCGGTTTGAGGTTAGAATAATAGTCCGTTTTTCGAAAAAGTCACTCCATGGGAAACCCGGTCATCAAAAAGTCGGAACATAAAAAGAGTGATCATAGTAAATAAAAATTTAAATAATTTTTAATAAAATTGACTTTTGGAATAAAATTTATCTTTTTCTATTATAAATTAAGTGATATTTTAATTCAAACTATAGAATCGGAG